TAAAATATTAAATTTATGGATAAATATAATCAATGAAAAATTATTTATAAATTAAAAAAAAAATTCAGGTGGAGTACTGGATAAAAGCCCATTCAGTTGAAATAATAAGGTTAATTTGGACATGAGAGATGAAATAAGAAGAAAGAAAACAATTTTATTTCTATAAGTCGTTTTTTATTTTTTCTCTAAATAAACAAAATAAAATATTTTTAACTTTCTTAGGCATAACACAATGGATCCAACAATTTTTATTCTATCTACACAAACCCAAAACCAGATTTTTGGGGATTGGATTTAAATAAGTTTTATAAAAACATTCATCTAAGTCCTCTCTGGATTAGATTTAATCAATCATATAAAACATTTTATCATTTATTTGACTTAATTAAAAATGTGAATCTAATTTATACTCTTTATATATAAAATGATAGTATATATTATATACCCATATTTAATTAGAACATAAATTAACTGAATTATATAAAACAGATGATAACTCAACCTTTGTAATTAGAGATCTCATGAATAAGGTTCATATGGGTAAAATCGTTAGTTATGCTAACACTAAAATTGATTAAAATCAATCATGTTCATTCTTATGGTGTATATGTGAAAGTGATAATAACAATAATTGTGAGAGTGTATTGTAATTGTTAAAACTGCTAACACATATTAAGTGTTTTGGTTCAATTAGTTTAAGACTGGTTTATATAGCTTGTTATATCAGCTCTGATGTATTACATCTAATATGAGACCCAACCTTACATACAACAGGAACTTCTCAGAATATCTGACGATCTCAGAAACTAGCAAGAAACTCTCAAAATGGTAAATTAACCCAGAATAATAAAAAGAAGATTAGAGAAAAGAAGATGAGAGATGTGTGTTTTTGAAGAGTGTGAAGTAGTCTCTATTTATAAGAGAAAGTTTATAGCAGTTATGGAGAGACTTGGTAATGAGTCTGTAATGTTTTCTGAAACGTTATCTATAACGTTTTCTGACATGGTCTTCTGCAACGTATGTTCTCTGAAACGGTCTCTATAACTTGTGGGAACACTCAATACCCCTTAATTTACAATAATCTCAAAACAAAAAAGGAGATAAAGAAATAAAAGAAGAAAATATTTATATTGAATTATATTTTATTCCTCCCAATCTTTACCTCTAATTTTTTTTTTTCATGCAAATCAAGTGATTCCACATCATATCACATACCATATTTGCATTCTCTTCTAAAATTATAATTTAATGTCATGTTGTCAAAAGTCTATTACAAGTGAAATAAGTCTCCTTAGAAAAATAATAATAAATATTTCATATATTATCTATTATTTTACATGTAAATAATACAGTCGTTGATTAATAGCTTAATTTTCATATATATATATATATATATATATATATATATATATATATATATTCCACAATTTTCAGCATTATTGATCGTTAATGTTGAATACTCTAATCATGATTTTAGAATTTTATGAAATGTTTTTTTAAATAATTCTACAATTGATTTTAAAAATTTACTCTTATTTTATTCATACTGTAAAATTTTAAATTTGATAGTAAGGATTTAAAATGATCCTGCTTGTAATAAACTAAAATTGTTTGTGAAGAAAATAATAATTGGAAGTGGTTTTTGTTTTGGTGCTTCATTGAGAGATTAACATTTTACCTAAAAGATATGAGATACTCTAAAAATTAAAAGAAATAAAATATTCATAGTAAAATTATTATGTTAAAATAAATTAAAACGATTACTTTATCTTAGTTCTATAGTTTTGAGTTTAAATTTTGAAGTTGTAATAACCGTTGGGAATACTAATGGGAATAATGCACATTAATTTTTAAAAACTTTATCAGCGTTCGTCTTATGCCCATTTCGGCCATTAGCACCAAATTATATATACTTCTATTTTACTTTTATATGATATTCCATAAAATATTGTTATAAATTAGCTATGATTTATAAAATTAATAATGTATTAATTTTTTAGAGCTATTTTAAATACATCGTAATAATAAACAAGTTAAATTAAAAAAATAGTAAACTATTTTAGAAAAATTGCATAATATTTTCTATAAAACTCAAAACAATAATTTTATTTTTAATACATAGTGAAAGAAAATAATCATAGAAGAGAGAATATTACACATAGCTTTATTCTCGGGGATATAGTAAAAGCAAAAACCAAAAGGTAAAAGTTAAGGGCACTGAAATGTTCAGAAGGAAATCATTAATTTTTTTTAATTATTGAGAATTTCGGTCTTATGTACAATGTACCAAAGCTTGCCCCTTGTGCTCTTCAATGTAGTTTTTGTTAACAAAGGACGCATGAAAGGACAGGTGATGAGTTGGTTGTTGAATTTGTGTGCATAAGCAATTATTTAATTGGATGGTAAATGCATGCAAACCAACTCTAGTTTTCGTATTAATAATTTGTAGAGAAAACCACACAACTAATAACCCAACATAAAGTTAAAGCATGATTAAAACGATATATATTGTATTCATGATTCATGATGTGGAATGAATATGTTTTAATAGTATGTATTGACATCATTTAAATAGGATGTATTTTTTGGGAAATTATTTGAATTTGTTTGAAGACATTCACTCAACTGTTAAACGTATGAAAATTGAAGATTTTATCATTATAAATTAATTTGGTTCAGTACAGAGTCTTTTTATGTATGAATCATTAATTTGGAAGCCAATATTATAATCTTCCAGCGGTTAGAATATGTAAGTATGTTTCATAAGTCTTTGATATTAGTAGGAGAAAATTGTCAAAATACTTTAGTAATATTTTGAGAGGAAAAACTATTTGTTACATGGAACTAGCTGTGCACGGGAAAGGGTTATTTATTAACAAGATCAAGTTGTCCCAACAAGATGAGAGCACGTATTATGGAGGCACCTTACATTTGACTCTTATTTGTGACCTCATTCTAAAGTCAGTAAATTATGTAATGTTTAGGAAATAATTATTCCACTTTAATTTAAATTATTCTATTTTGAAAATAGTGATTGGTTAAATTTATGAATCTAACTTATGAATGAGGGTGGTGGGTCCATTTTGAATAGTGAGAGGAGCAGTAAGAGAATCTATTTGAAACCAGGTATCTATTGTGAAGGAGGTGGTATTCTAGAGGAGGCACAAGCGCGAGGCGGAGCAACAGACATTCATCAGGTAAAACTGGAAAGGGGAGAAAGAGAGGGAAAGACGGAAATTTAAATCTTTTTAAAGAATATCCTCACTTTTTTACGAGAAGAATATCCTAGTTTAGAGATGAAAAAATTCCACGTCTCACTCGAATTATACCCTAGGATAATAAGTTTTATGCAATGCAATGATTATTGCATAACATAAAGCTGGAATTGCTCAGGCATATTGCTTCCTGTTTCTGTGTATAATAAAGTACCCCTTCGTCTCTGCACGACCCATTCCACATCATGAAATTCACGCGCAGCAGGGAATCTCAACCCATGTGCTTTCCTAACCCACTACCGCTAGCCAGTACGGAACAACCACCTTCTTTCTCTCCTCGCTACGTAACAGTATTTCAAATATAAAAAATAAGACATGTTTCACACACGTACAGATTTTACTAAAATAACCAGATCATGTTAATAATAATAATCATAATAAAGAATGTTAGAAAGAGAGTAATAGATTGTTTAAAATATATATTAGTAAGATTTTAGAGGAAAGAATGTTATTTACTGACTACTTTGAGGATAGACATAAAATTACCGAGTATAAAGATGCACATGATTGACCAGAAAACGACGACTCAATAATTAGGTTACCCGCCACTAGTCATTCATTCATTCCCTTTCAACCTCCCAAACGTCCCAAACTCGCTGAGACATTACTATCTGTTATGCTATGGAGCAGCAGCAGGACCACCCTAGCTATCGCCACTTTATGATCCTTTTCCAGCCAGTGATATATATCTAGATTTCAAGAAATTAACTGTTTCGTAATTTGATTTTACCCAACAACAGGCGGTACTATCTGATGTACGTAATTTATCTAATTATGTAAGAAGCGAAAAAGAGGTAAGTGTAGTAGAAATAACAATGCTATAGTTTTACTCTGTAGTCTGTACCAAATTTGTTGTACTTGTGAAAGTGGAATGAATTTGGTTCCAAAACTGGAAGACTCTTCTCACATGGGGTAAAGGTAAATAAGATCACCTGTCCGTCCAATCCCCTCTACATTTCTGTAACTGTAACTCATACACCCATTTCCTATAATTAGACAAACAATCACGTTCACCTCCAACATTTTCACCATGCTTGCTAGTATTCTTTTTGATTTAATATCATATTTTATATGGAATGGAAAAGACCTCACCATCCACCCAGAAATAATACCCATCCAACTTATCGCAGAAAGTTTCGGGACAAAAGGCAAAGTTTTTCCATTGTTTTTTTTTTTTTTAAATGGGAAAAGACAAATCAGCACTAAAAAATAAAGCAATGAAATGACAAGATAGATAAAGACGGGCTAAATTAACGTCATGGGAAAGGGAAAAAGAAGTAGGAGAGAAAAGATAAAGAAAAAAGAGAAGATAGCATAACAGTCACTGACTTTGCTGTACCCTTCAAAATTAAAAACAGATAAACAGACACGAATTTTAGGGGGAAGCACAATGAAAGAAAAATGAGACTACAATTTTGTTGTAGCCTTATAGGAACCGTTTGCGCTACAGTCATCACCAACGGAATTTACAGAATTCCGCACAGAACTAGCTTCTCCGTATATATAATCCGCACACAAATGACAAAGGGAGATAAGTCCCCTTTCACCTTTCTTAATTAACCATAGAAGAAAAATAAACTTCACTGTACACCAACAAAAGCGTAGTCCTACCGTGGAAGACAGAAACCAAGTAAATAAAATCAAGTACCTAAGGTAAATTAATGTAAGAATAATGTCAGCAAGTAGCGATTCTTCACGGTTTTCTTCCTTCAAGGATGGTCGCTTTTATGGCTTCAATTTCACCCACTCGTATCGTCCTTCCAAGGGCACGTCCTTCACAATATCATAATTATACCTGCAGAGTCACAAGTAACATAATACACACACATCAATAAATCACAGTTTTACTTCTCACATTTGAAATGGAAATGTATTACTATTATCTTACTTTTCTGAGAAGACTTTCTGAATGTCTTTCTCCGCGGCGGCGAAGAATTCTTCGAGCTCCGACTCCGTCGGCATTTTCTGCGCCGCTGATGAAACATGGCGAGATTTGGTTTTGGACTGCGTCGTTGGCTTCTTCTTCTCCGCTGAGTCCACCTCCTGCGAATTTGTAATTCGAAGCTCGCTCGATAGACTCATCTCTCTCCTGCGCGTACAATGTTGGGTGCTTTGGTTAGTTTTTAGAATGTGCAATGCGTATATATATTCGCAATATTGATACATGCATGTCAGAGAGTTACAGAATTAGTTTTGAACGGAAGAAATTATCATGATGACTTGCACATACGATACGATACACTCACACACCTTTTAATTATTTGAATTCAAACGAACGGAATCATTAAAGATTTGAAACGATTCGAAGACACTTTTTCCTTTTTGAATTTTAAACTACCAATAATAATTTAAAAATTAATTTAATTCGACACCTTGTTTGTTGTTCACCGCAACTGCACGTCGGCATTTCCACTTGCGCGTTCTCTACCTGAAAAAAAAAAAAAAAACGTTACGATACACATTAATGAGATGCAGTTATGGAGAGACAAAACGCAAGTTCAATTAAATCACTGCGCCGACATTAATTTGAGGTGATTCATTGATAATAATTAACAATAATCACCTCTAGATCTGAAAATTTGATGATTCGGTTTTCGTCGAAGGATCCGTTGCTGGAACAACACGACGCCGAAGATTCGCCGGAACAGCGTTCCTCCGTTTCTGGCGCGGATGTATTACTCAAACTCTTGAGTTGAACGAAGGAGGATGGTGAGATGTTGTTGCTGTTGTTGTTGACAGCGGTTCTTCTTCTCTTCGGTGAAGTTGCAGAAGCTCCAACGGCCAATGCAGTTCGAGCTCGTGTCTTCACCTGAGCCATCTCCATTAATATGCTGTAATCTCAATTTCAGTGTTCTAAACAGTGTGTGTGGAGGGAGAGAGAGGGAGAGAGAGAGAGAGAGAGAGAAGTATTGCGTAGTTTTTGCTGCGACGAGAAAATCGATCCTAAGAGGAGAAAAGGTCGTTAGGGGTTTTGATAGCGGGGCAAGACGGTGATCACAGGCGCCGGAGGGACGGCGAATGGAGGAGTGACACGTGGCGGCAGGTCTCAGTGGAGGGTGTCGGAAACGGAATTTGATGATGCAGTTGGGACGGGAATGAGTAAACGAGAATCATGGGGTTAGGAATGAAGAATCATATATAGATTGTTTTGGGATGACTGAGTCTGAGAATTCGGTTTCGCGAGTGAAGATTGGAGAGAGAACTGGTCTCAAGCGAAATAATTGTGTTCCCTGCAAATTACACTTATATCCTTTCATTTGTTAAATTTTATTTGGTTGTTAGTTTCTCTATTCATATTCCTTTTTCCTTTTTAACATAGTATACAGATACATGTTTTTTTACCACCATATCTTCTAACATATATTATAAGTTTCTCACATATTCATTTGTTATTTTATAACATTACTTTACAATTTTTTCTATAACTAAAGGCATAGAAACAAACAAGTGAGGGATTCTATTTATGTTCATATATATAATTTTATTTTTTATGTCATGCTTTTATTTGTGAACTATTAAAAAGAAAGAGAAAGCTGTCCGAAACCAAATTTGAGAGTTACAATTTGACAAAGTTATATTAAAAGTAAATGGTTCTACATTTTTGTAAGAGTAAAATGTTCTACATTTTGTCACCATTTGGTTTTGTATTTTTATTTGGGGGGTTGGGTTTTCTTTTCTATACAGCTCATATTTCTTTTGTCGTGTGCGGCCTCCAATTGAAGACAAGGATTTTCCAAATGATAAAACTGAAGCTTAGATGGTTGGAGAGGGGACACCCCACACATGGTCATTTAATTTAGGGCCGTAAGGGCTTAAATGTGAGGCAAACATAAAATTAAATAAAAATATCAAACAGTATTTTTTTTCCCCCACCTAAATGGCTTACAAAAGAAGTAAAAGAATAGGTGGATGTACTAAATTTTTTTTTTTTTTTTATGATCGCAATTTACTCTTGCCATTTTCTAATGGCTAGATATAAAAAGTTTGATACTAAATATTATTAGGTAATATAAAATAAAATACGGTTAAGATCCCCCATGTGGCATACGTGCAATTACTTACACGTGGGTGTGATGGATGAAATATAAATTGGCAGACAAAATATGGACCACTGCCATAAAAGTTTAGGTTGTTTCTCGATTAATGATCCTCTCTGGATATGCCTACGTACGTACTTTCCCTATATGTATCATTCATCTTCCATGCAAATCATTCATCCTTTTTATATTTCTCTTTCACTCTTCATATGCCAACTCCAAAATCTTCTATTTTCTTATTTTGCTCTCTATTTCCATCCTCATCATTAAGTCTGTTCATTTCTATTATGTACATAGGTAATAATAGCCATTGGACAAAATGTTATAAATTAACAATTATAAATTCATGATTAGATAGCAATGCAAACAAAAATTCTTACTACATTCTAACTATATCATGTTATTGTTATTATCATCTTTAATTTGGCACAAATCTTGGTGTATTTAGAGGGTCCATTCCATTCCATGCATTTATTATGTCAAGTGTGAAGAGACACAAGTTGAAGTACCACAATATGAACGCAGGATCTTCATTCTGCACCTAAATCAAAGCTCAGAAGTACAAAGATCGCTAGTTACTGCTATGGACAGATTAATACTAATGTCAATGCCAAAATATATTTCAACAAAATAAAGAAAATAGCTTTAAAAACAATGTGCGTAAAATAAATAAATAAACATCTAATTTCAGATCATGTACTAGATCCTCATTACAATAAATATTATTTATAAAATTAGAGCAAATACGTTTGTACTGTACTCATTTTAAGGAAAAAAATTCCCTCTGTCAGACTAACCAATCTAAAAGAAAGTGTGCGTCTAGTTTTAAAATATTAAATATAAAAAACATTGGCATATTATTTTTAAATTTATTTTGAGAGAAAAAAAAAAGCAACGCAAAATAGAACTGAATTGTATTTTTAAATCCTTTATTAAGAGACGTGTTTTTTCGATGATTTTTCTTCTATCTCTAATCTCTCAAATTTTTTAATTAAACTGAAGTATTATAAAACAAACTTTCCATTAATTTATCAAGTGTGACATAAGTTATTTAAACGATTTTTTTTCATAAAATTTTTACAAATATAACATAACAAAACAAATCTAATGACATTTTGTATATGTTAAATTTAGTATTATATCATTATTACAGCATGTCCTTTCCATGTCATCATTTTGTATTTTTTATTTTTGGAATATTTATTTAAGTTAAAAATTTGCTTAAATTAAAGAATTATTATCCAATACCTTAGAGTTAAAGATTAATACTCCCACCTTTCAATTATTAGAATACCTTAATACTCTCACCACTCATCTATTATAATTTTCTGTAATAGTATATATAAATCAATTTGTAAAAAAAATCTATATAAGTTAGACTTATGATAACCTACGCACATTTTTTAATTATAAATATATAAAATGCTAAAATTACCCATTGTTCATGTTAACTATAAAAGTATTAAAGAAAATAATCTTCATATCCAGGAAGAAGGAGAAAATGTCTTACCAAGCATTATAATTAAAAATAAAAATAAAAAGTTTAAGATTCTAGTAAGTACTAAAAAAATGGATAAAGAAGAGACATGGAGCCTTGATTATGGGGTGGGCTCAGAAAACTAGAATAATTTTGCTTTATAATAATAGAGTTGGGTTTTTGAGTGGAAGTCAGAGCCCTCATTATACATGGTTGGTTACGATTACTTTAACATGTGAAATTGCCTTTTGTATGCTTTAATGTAACTAGTGCCTTATAACCAAAGGTAATCATAAGAGGCCAATCATGTTTCAAACCCAATTTGACATTGTCACTTGTAGTCATAATTTTCATCTATATCAAGCACATCTTCTTTATTCTTTGTTTCGCTACCCGCGGCTTTCCCATTTTTTTCCCTTTCTGATTTTTCCCAAGTCAAATTTCACTTTATTTTATGTTTGTGGGTATTACTTTATTCTCTCTGCTACTTATTTGATACATTTAATTGTTTATATATATATTTTTGTATGAATAAATGACAAATGTAGAAAGAAATTAAAAGTTGTAAAAGAAAAAGGGTTAGGTGAGGAGTTGCTGTAACAAATATAATTGGATATGATTAGAGATATTATCGCTTTCTGAAGTAAACGGAAATGAATGATCAATGCCTCCTCACTTCGGGTCAAACCTACAACCACAGGCACGGGTGGATCCAGCGCTAGAAAATGAAATTTCACGGATCAAAAGAAGAAGAGAAAAGAGTGAAAAAATAAGCATATATTATTGATGAACTTTGATCACAATCCAAAACTCCTAAAGGACAAAGAACTTTATGTGTTCTGCCATCTCTTTCTGAATCATGCTAGACGGTGGAATTAGTTGAAATGTTTAAAGAGAAAGAAAGTGTGAGTGAGAAAACATGAAAAGATGAAGACGGAAAGTTGCGGGGTCTGGAGCGCAAAAGCAGAGTGACGAATCTCAAGGAGTAATAAACGAACTAAAGTCACCCAGTTTTCTTTTTTGACAAAACCACATTTGTTGAATAGTGATAAAAAATCTTATTTCAACTTGTTCTAACTGATTTTTTCTAATTAATCTAGTTAATATACATGTTTGATATTATTACACAATTCTTTATAAAGTTTTAAATGAGTTAACTTTATGAGATTTCTTAACCTCTTTAATTCCGTAAGATCACATATTTTGTAAGATAAAAAGAAGGATTACATTACATACCACTCTTATATCTTAATCTTTTTATAAAGTATTTTTTTCTGATATACTCATATTTTTTTTTTAGAGAGAGAAAAAGAGTAGTTTACTCCAAGTGTAATATACATTTTTGTTCTGTGCTAGTTAGTGGTCGAATGGTCCAATCATTTTCTAAAAGCATGTGTGTCCTTTTGGGAGGGAAGGGAAGAGAAGGCAAAGGATTGAGGAGTGTAGTTTTTCTCATGGACCCTCTCTGCGGACACTTTTAAAAGTGTAACTCTTATGGCCTAGGGCTTTTCCTTCTTTTCCAAAGTCATACGACAATTCCAAATCACAATTCAGCTGTGGGTCGCTACTTGGAGAAAGTTTATGTAATACGCTACTATTTCTTAAGCTTTAAAAAAATTCACATTAACGATCTTGCCTTGTTGCAAAACTCTACACTTTTTTTAGCTACATTCTCAAAATTTGTGAAAATCATTTTAATATCAGTTTCACTAGTACCAGGTTCTTAAATTTTTTTTTTTTGTCCAATTGTTTCAAACACCGAGAGATTTGTATAAACTTGTAAATCGATTGCTGGGGAATTAAAAAAATATGCGATATATCCGTGTAAACAATCTGAAAATTCTACACACGTTGTGTGCTTTTTTATTTCAATATTTTTATAGGCAGTTACTTTAATTTATTTTTATATTTAATTTTATTTGCGTCTTCTTATAATTTTTTTTTGTTTTGTATTTTATGCTGTTGGTAAAGTTAGAGTAAATGAAGTTCTTTTTCCTTTGCTTCCTTTCACCATGATTGTCAAATTTTCCTTTATAATGGATGTGCCATCCTTACCTAAATTGTATTAGGCTTCATGTTCGATAAGTTTAATTGGTGTTAAAAATCACGATTAAGTCAAGACATTTTGTGACTCATCACAACATAATAAATAAAGATTCTTATATATATATATATATATATATATATATATATATATATATATATATATATATATATATATATATATACTTTTAATTTTATTTTAAAAAATATTAAAACTAATTTCTATTTTTTAGAATAATAGATAAGAGTTCGAATACATACAAATTT